TTTCTCTCTATTCGATTCGATTCCATTCATAGGGAAAGCCTGTAAACAGTAATGACGATGACGATTTCATTCAAACCAATCAACAAAACAAAATAAGGTTGTGCGAATAAAATATGTTAAAAACCGGCCAAGCGCGAGTCGGATTCGCGCATGAAAAGGTTTCGTACAATTATCTATGAAAATGCAAATATCACTTTAGTTGTATGAGAGCCGTTTTTAACTACTTATTCGATTTTTAAGTATCTATATAACAAATTCTTAAGATACATCTTAGTGAAGTACAGCATGGCCTTTCCCTTTTTACCTTTTTACCCTTTGGGTACAGAATGAGAACGTTAAAAGATAAAAAAAATATATTTCAGTAATTTTGCCATAACATTCCAATCTCCATACGTTTAATGAATATATTGTGTTTGTATCAGTACACTATTACATAATTAAGTATAATTGTAATTAAAACATAATAAATCTTCCACAACAATAATGAGTAGTTTGATAACAGTTGACTAGATGATAAGAATTTCTGAGGTCAGAGTATATGAACTCATACAGTTTGATTTTAATATTACGATGTTTATTTATATGAATATTACCTCATGCGAATATTACCTCATACCTCATGATAATTTACTTATTACACTATTAATATATACTTTAATAGACAAAGCGATCGTCTTACTTTCTCGCTATAAATCTAGCCATAGCTATAAAACGTTTATTAATTTTAATAATGATTAAGAAGATATGAGTATGATGTATATGTTTGATCAAACATTTTGGTTTATTTCAGTTTTCCAAAAAGCTTTATTTGTTAAAATATTTTTTTATTTAATCAATCTTAATAAAATACAAAAGACTACACCAACCAAAGCAATTGATGAAATATGTTAATAACTAGTGGCCGCTAGCGACTTCGTCCGCGTTTTCCATTTTTTCTTCGCTCCCAATAGTTGCAGCGTGATGTTATATAGCCTAAAGCCTTCCTCGATAAATGGTCTATTCAACACAAAAAATATTTTTCTATTCGTACCAGAAGTTCCTGAGATTAGCGCGTTCAAACAAACAAACTCTTCAGCTTTATAATATTAGTATAGATGAAATACTGGCCAGAACAATCCTTCTAGCATGATTCAGTATTCATGCGCGATGGCTTATTATTAGCGTATTTCATGTATAACTTTGGTGTTTCTATACCGATTTCTATGATTCTTTTTATGGAATACTTAATACTGTTAACTTTTTTAATTAGGTATGACTGAGAGTGTTATAAACGTAAGAGTAGACAATAGACAAATACAATCAGAAAGCTTCGAACTGCTAAGCTATCGGGAGTTACACGTGTTATTGTAATTCAACCATAAAAGATAGACATATGCTGTCGTGGGATATTTTTTATATAATTTTAAGGAGAACATTTCCGTCATACATGATTTCTGGGTAGCTTTAACCATTAAGGTTGCACACGCGACGGAAGCTTAAAAAATGGATTAACTTCTCCGTTTTCCCAACATTTCCCTTCACTGCTCTGCTCCTATTGATTGTAGCGTGATGAAAAGTATACTATAACCAGCTCAGGAGTATGAAAAATAATTGTACCAAGTTTCGTTAAAATCCGTCGAGTAGTTTTTGTTTCTATAACGGTTATACAGACAGACAGACAAAAATTATACTGATTGCATTTTTGGCATCAGTATCGATCTCTAATCACCCCATGGTAGTTATTTTGGAAATATATTTCATGTACAGAATTGACCTCTCAACAGATTTATTATAAGTATAGGAGATAAAACAAAAAAAAATATAAAAAATATAACCATGTTCGTTGATAAAATCAATAAAAACATTTAAATTATCAAACCTATTTTAGGCCACTTTTACCCATGCACTAGGTGATAATAAAGATAAATATCTGTGATAGATAATAAAGATAAACCAGAGATTTTCGCTAGTCTATACTAATATTATGAAGAGGAAAGTTTTGGTTGTTTGTTTGCAATGAATAAGCCCCAGAACTACTAGATCGATTTTAAAAATTATTTCATCTAAGGGAAGCTACAGCATATACGGTGAACATAGGCTATACTTATTTTTTCCCGAAAAACAACAAATAAAGGTATGAAAATAGGAGTGTATGTTTGTATAGGAAATTATAACGTTAACATAGTAATCATTTTTTACTAATCAATTTGACATTGCAACTATGTGTCATGATAAGAATGGATATCGAAATAAACAGTTCCTTGGTGACTACGTGGGCAAAGCCACTGGTGGAAAGCTAGTGTAAAAAGCTCAGTTCCTTAGTGACTACGCAGGCAAATCTACTGGTGGAAAGCTAGTGTAATATAAAAGTTACATATATAATCAAAAAGCTGTCTGTCAGAAGTGGGATTCGAACCCACGCCCACAGAAGTGGACTGCGACCTGAACGCAGCGCCTTAGACCGCTCGGCCATCCTGACTTGTCTGATGATAGCGAAATTTATTATCAATTACCATATATACTAGTTTTTTGAAATTGAGAAATGTCTCCAATTGACTTTAGTTTACAGAAAAACAAATATCGGGACAGTTGAAATTAGTCTCATGTTTGTATTTTTGTAATCAATCAATTCTTGCAATCTAAATTTTACCCACTTCTCAGTCTCCGTTTGCGCTGAACATTTGAAATATATTATAAACGTCTTTAGTTCTGATGACGACGCTTATATTATTAATCCAACATGGCCACCGTAACAAAATGGCGGCGTATGTGTATATTTTCAAAAAAACCCACGCAATATGGTAAAATACAATACACAAAATAAATGCTTATTATAAAAAAATATTTTAATTTTTTTACTTGTTTATTGATCTCATTTTATAGTGATTCTTGCCAAAGTGCCTACTCTGTTTGTCTGAAAAGAGAATGGGCAATTTACTATGACATTTCGGCTATTTTTACGTAACTGTGCTCCTTGTTGAAACTAACGGTAAACAATAGAGAATTATTTCTTGAATGAGTAGATAAAAAAACATTTTAAATTTATGCCGGAGTTGGAAAATATCCGTTCGCTTAACATTTCCACATCTGTGATTGATTGGTTCAGATCATAATTATCTCTTCGATCGCTTTCAGTGCGTAATATTCAATGATGCTTCTTCTGAGTGGCTGAACTTGTCAGCTGGTGTACCGCAAGGAGGAGTTCTCTCACCTTTACTCTTCTCTATATTCATAAACAACATCTCTTCCGCTATTTCTTCTCCTTTTCATCTCTATGCAAATGACCTCCAAATTTATAAACACTTTTCCATCCCCGATGCTCTGGACACCATCGCTTCTATAAATAGGGATCTTGTTTCTATACAGGAATGGGCTACTTCGTATGGTCTCTTAGTCAATCCAGCAAAGTGCCAGGCCATGATTGTCGGTAGTAGCAGACTGAAGAGTAAACTTGAGCGGGATTGTACACCTCTAATTTTATACAGTGGAATACCAATTCCATTCGTTGATAAGATAAAAAACTTGGGTTTGACTATGGATAGCACTTTATCATGGTCTCCGCAAATTGCTGAGGTAAGTAAACGAATACACTACTCTTGCCACTCTCTCAAGCGACTCCAATCTTTTCTTCCCTTTAAAACCAAAATTATGCTGGCGCAATCTCTTCTGCTTCCCATTCTCGACTATGCTGACATTTGCTATCTAGATGTGAATGAAGATCAATTGAATAAGCTTGAGCGTCTTCAGAATCTCGCAATTCGGTTCATTTTTGGACTACGTAAATATGACCATGTCCATGGCTCAACTGAACTGGCTTCCTATGCACATCCTTTTCCTTAAAGATCTTAATTCACCCCAATACCTTAGTTCCCGTTTCCAGAAGTTTCCTCCTCCTTACCATCCTAGGCGTCCCTGCGTCACCAAATCTCTTGAGCTACCTAAATGTAACACCAATTACCGCCTCAAATCCTTTTCTGTTGTGGTGTTCAACTATGGAACAGACTTCCCTTGAATATTCAGGATTGCCCTTCCATCATGTGTTTCAAATTTAAACTTAAAGACTACTTTCTGGAACAATGTTCGTATTCATGACACTGCTTTCATCGTTCCTTATATATGTATTTATATATGTAGTGTATATTTTATGTATTATATATATCTATTTTTTTTTAATTTATAATTTAACTGCACTTCTATCACCCGCTTACATCTTACTCTCCCACGACTTCTAGGTTGGCTGGAAGAGATCTCTTCTAGAGATAAGCCCACCTTTGTAACAAATTTATTTACTTATTTTAAGTGCAATAAAGAGTATAATAAAAATTATATATATAAATTATATATTTTTGAGAGATAAGTGCGTAGTGCGCTATTTTGCGTAATTTTAGCCGACTTCTGCCCATTCTCCTTTCGTAACCTTTTAATATAAATCATATTCGTGTTGATTATCTGTGAATAGAGGCGGTGTCAGATCTTAATTCCGTTGCATAACATATTAGCAAAACTAGTTTTATTTTATAATTTCAGAGCATTTCTCTATGAATATTGACACAGAAGGAGAGAGCGAGCAAATCAATTTTATATATTTTTTTTAAATATATCATACAAAATTATTAATTTATGTTTATTTATTTATATAATAATAATAATACAAAATCACACTTTAATTAAATTTTAAGGCTTTTTACTTGTTAAATATATTATACATACCAATATTATATGTAGGTACATACAAAACAATACAAAACTTATAATTTGAGGCCCGGATTTACGTTTTTTTCCGGCCCTGATCGTCTCTTTAATCACTATTTACATTATTACGTTAATGTAATAAATAGCACCCGTTATCAATAGATTATATACATAATTAAATAAACACCGATATTCATTTTTTTTTCAACTAGTCAAAGTCTCAACGTTACAAGTGATAGTGCCTTAATTTGTTTCTTATTAAAATTTAAGCGATTTATATATACTTTTTCTGCTATTTTGCACTATAATTTTGGACGTTAAAAATAATAATGATTTATAAACGATCGCCGCGTTTAGCTGTGTTGGTAATGTTTGTCTGTATGTGTGTTGGTGCTAGTAAAATAACAGTGGATTACGAGAAAGATCCTGCCGTAAATAATTTGAGAAATTATCTAAAGATACGAACTGTTCATCCAAATATCAACTATGGTATGAATAACATAATATTTATTTTGTATTCATTTGGTAAACTAGTTTAGTAAATTATCTTTCAGGTGTCAAAAGATCCTAAAACAAAATATTACAAAGCAAATGATTAAAATGAATAGTATTTAATATAACTTAGTACTTCCTAAAGAGAATATTAAAAAAAAATCAAAGGTAGGGTAAATTTCTAATAAAAATTAAGAAGTAAAGGTAAAATGCTAATAAATTAAATTAAAATATATACAGGATGTAATGTTGATAAAGGTCTGTAAGGGAAAGAACATATGAAGATTTGGGGCGCGATCGCCTAACGTTCAAAACGTTTCAAAACGTCCGGTTTCGAATCTTGAACTGAAAACATTTTTTTATATAAGTATGAATGCAGATTAATTCATGGACGTAGCCGTAGTGATATCTATAACCTACGCTTTGTAGGTGTTTCACGTGAATCTGTTTATATTCTTTTAAAAAAATGCTTTTTTTATATAAAAAATTAAAAAATATAAAAAAAAATGTTTTCAGTTCAGGATCCGAAACCGGACGTTTTGAAAAATAAAACTTATATTATTTCTACTTAGATACCGATTCTTGAAGTCTTAAACAACTAATGTCACTATGAAACTTTCTTACACTGACCGTTCCGACCGTGTAATATTTTACACCCTGTATATTTACCTACCATAAAATATATAAGCTTAATATAATATACTGCGTATACAGGTGTTCTCAATTGGTAATGAATTAACATTTCAAATTCCCAAAGAAACATAGTGTTTTTTAAAACACATCTCATGTTTCTTCTATGGAAGTAATATGTGTGACAACCCGATATCTCTACGACTATTTCTTGACGTACCCTTTTCAAGACCGTGACAAGACGATTGAACTTGTTACTCTTATAAGTAACTCTACAAAATTGCTTTAGATGTCAGCAAAATGATTTTTACTATACCTACTTATTTTTAAATGCTATTCTATCGTTGTTCTTTAAAATAAAATGCTTTTCTATATTTTCTCTAGTCTTGGTGTTATAACCGTATCTAATATTCTTTATTATTATTTAATGAACTAATAATAATTATGTATTCAGATGAATGCCTTACCTATCTTCGCGGGCAGGCCTCAGAGCTCGGCCTTCCAGTGCAGGTATACGAGCCAGTGGCCAGGAAGCCCATCCTGGTGATGACATGGGAAGGCACAGAGCCTAATATGCCTAGTATCCTTCTCAACTCACATATAGATGTTGTGCCTGTTTTCGAGGTTAGATTGTCTACACTTTTTTTAACGGATGATAATAATCATATTTCTTTAATTAATGTACAGACAGAGTTATATATACAATAATGCGGCTGTACAATGCAAATGAAACATAACCACACTGGTAATGAGGTTACAATTAAGAACACATTTCATGATTAACTATGCCTTAAAATATTAACGTTTTTTTATTCTTTTCCATTTTCACACTCTATTTCGTTTAAATTTTATATTATACTTTAACAATTACTTTCTTGATTAATTGTAAATACTTTGTTGAATCACCTGTTCACCTATACTGTTGTGAAGATTTTTATATTAGGGGTAACCAGTATTTATGATAAAAAATATTTCAACTCAAAATTTATCGTGCTACAAATATGAATCTGAACGCGTCTATGCAAAAGTTGCTAACACTAATAATTATCTAACTTCACAATAAAACTTTTCAAGCTTTATACAGATATAGCTCTATAAATTGAGTAATATTTTAAGAAGCATATATTAGCTTTGATAATATCGTAACATTTTTAAGAATAAATAATTTTTCTTGGCTATATTTAAAGTTGTTTTTCCGAGACCCGTGTAAATTATAGACTATGTCACCCTATATGACTCCGTAGGTGAAAGTTTTTTTTTTAAATCGGTCCAGTAGGTCGGTGTTTATATAATGCAAACAAACAAATCTTTCCTATTTATAATATTAGTATAGATGATTTTGAACTTACGAGTATTCTTTTACGAGGGTCAAACTGAAAGTTCTTAGAACTGGCCACTTATAAACAATATAATAAAAAAATAATTCTAAAATTTGAAAATATAACTCTTTGCCAATATTACTGAGTATATATTTCATTCATTTGTCATTTGTTTTACGATTTGGCGGCAAATTGAAAATTGTCTGTGTCACGTCATCATGAATTTAACACGAGAAAATTTTCGTGCAATGATTTTTTATGACTTTCGATGTCATTTAAGTCAACAAGAAAGTTATGATAGACTACGATTGGCCTTTCACGATGAAGCCCCATCTCGTGCGACTGTTTACAACTGGTTTAATGAGTTTAAACGTGGTCGCACTAATCTCACTGATGATTTACGTGAGGGACGGCCTTCTACGGCGACGACTGAAGATAACATCTGTGTTGTGCGGCGTATGATAGAGACTGACAAAAGAGTGACCTATCAACAGATTCGGACAAGCTTAGGCATCGGTATGAGTCAAGTGCACAAAATCCTCCACGAACATTTAGCGGTCAGGAAGCTTTGCGCCCGGTGGATACCTCATAATTTGACTGAGGCTCAAAAACTCCATCGTGTGGATTGGTGTCGTAAAATGATTGAAAGATTTAACGGAGGTGACTCAAATGCTGTGTTCGACATACTAACAGGTGACGAAAGCTGGATTTACTGTTATGATCCTAAAACCAAAAGACAATCTGCTCAGTGGGTGTTTCCTTTCGAGGAGTTGCCAACTAAAGTGAAGAGAGATCGAAGTGCGGGAAAAAAAATGGTGGCCTCGTTCTTTGGAAGGATAGGTCATTTTGCAACAATTGTGTTAGAGGATCAAAAAACAGTTTCTGCAGAATGGTACACTACCAATTGTTTGCCACTTGTCTTGGAAAAAGTTCGAGAGAAACGACCTCGCAGTAGGATCCTCCTTCACCACGACAACGCCTCGTCGCACACCGCCAAGCGAACGATCGACTATTTGGCGACATCAAACGTTGAATTACTGGGTCACCCGCCGTATAGCCCCGACCTCGCGCCTTGTGATTTTTATTTATTTCCAAAAATTAAAGAAAAACTTAAAGGAAAGCGGTTTATGAATGCTGAAGAAGCGGTGGCTGCGTATCGCGATGCCATTGAAGAGACCCCTAAGGACGAGTGGGCAAAGTGCTTTTCCCAGTGGTTCCATCGCATGCAGCGGTGTATTGACGTGAATGGACAATATTTTGAAAAGATATAATAAAACTAATAACTGGCTAATGTAATCAGTTTTTGATTTTCTAAGAACTTTCAGTTTGACCCTCGTATTTATTTATGAGGAACAGATCAATAATTGAAACATATCAAGAGTTAATTGTTTAAAATTAACCTGAAATAACAAAGCTTAGTTAAAGTTGCGAGAATCTGAATATAAATTTTAATTGGTACATTTATAACTGAAATGGAATTTGGGATCTTGTTAAAGTTACTGGCAAACCTGTCATTAGAGCGCTGTTCATAAGCTTGCTTGTTTTAATTAATCAGAAAACAGATCCAACATTTTGTCGAAATAATTAATTTGACTTATGTGTATATGTATTTAACCAAGAGGGTTTTATTGAAAGTATATATAATAAGTAGCACAACTGTGTTAATGAAAAAGCTCATGTTTTTTACTTATGGAAATATGTGTCTATGAAATGTTTAATTAAACTTCATGATAACATATTTGAAATTTCCTTTGAACTATTCAATCGGTTTTTGTGTTAATTTAGAAGTTCTCTTACGAATGTATGTTTATGAAAACGCATATGTCAATTATTGCAACTGCACCTTTTTCCTCAAAAATGTTGTCATTTTTGAGGAAAAAGGTGCAGTTGCAATAGTTTTATATGAAATTGTTTGCTCTTTTCTTGAACCAAAGAAAATTAACACACAAAGAGAATCATAATTAAAGTATATAAGTGCATAGCCAAGAGTTTTTTTTGCCATCATAATCTTCGTCGCGTATCTATTGTATGTACATTTACATTTTGACCTCAGACATTTTAAAGAATAAGTTTCATAAACACTTGTGTCAAAAGATAAAAACATCTTCATATCATGGTCTATTAATATCCCACCTTCCAACGTTCACGATCACCGATCAACTTGGACATCTTGGAGATAAAATTTAAAATTGTCGATAACCCACCCACCTCGCATGCATGTGTTCATTGGTTGATATTATATATATAACTTTCTCCAGCCTGTACATTAGCATGTTACGTTATTGAGCGTGATGTGACTTTTGAAGCAAAGTAACTCGAGATAAAAATTTAATGCGATATTAGTTAAGCCATCGAGGTCTTTCATTGCGTGAATGACAGCTATTATAATATTTACACAGTACCTATACTAATTGCTGAACATGACTTGTCTTTCTAGAACAGCTGGAAGTACCCTCCCTTCGATGCTCGTCTTGTCGACGGCGTGATATATGGTCGGGGTGTTCAAGATATGAAATCTGTTGGTATTCAGTACATCGAAGCCGTCAGGAGACTCAAAGAAAAGGGAATCAGGCTCAAGAGGACAATCCATTTGAGTTTTGTTCCAGGTTACCGAGAAAACTGTCAAATTTGATTTAGTTTTCTGCTTATGATTCCAATATTTCCCACCTCTTCATTATGGATGGAGTTTACGAATGCTACACCGCAAATTCTACAATCTGTGGAACTCTTGCAAACGTGCTCTAATTTGTATTTATTGACATATTTGATCGATTTCGCGTTCACAATGCTATAATGAAAAATATTCTTAATGAATAATGCTTAAAAAATCTACGTGGACCCTGGCACCCTGAGATGAGATTCGAAACTATAACCTTATCCCTTAATAAGGTTTACATTAAGAATATTGTATTTATTGATTTTATGTTTGCATTGTATTTTAATTCCATCTTGATATTTTTAAGTCCCATTCATAGGAAAGACTCATGCCCCAGCAATACATTAGAAGACTTTTTATGATATTTGTCGTTAAAATATTACACATGGATGCTTAAAATATTACTTTGAATGAATATTGAATGAATATACGATTAGTCATTGAAGATTGGGTTGTTTTCAGATGAGGAGATAGGTGGTAGGATGGGTATGGGTGAGTTTGTGAAGACAAAAGACTTTAAGAAGCTGAACGTTGGCTTTGCTCTCGATGAAGGCATTGCCAGTGCAACCTCACATTATCTCGTCTACAACGGGGAAAAGAGTATTTGGCGTGAGCTATAATTTGAAATCAATTGTTAGGCTTCCGAATCAAAATAAGTGTCGTTACTACGAAAACCAATTGTGTGTGAATTGAATTTGTAATTGCGAAATTTGCAGCAAACCTAAGCATTAAAGTTTTAATAGAATCTTGGTTCTTTTGGGAGGTACATCTACATGTAGGTGGTACTGTACTGTACAAATATCGACGAGAATTCAATGTAAACTCCATAGTTTTCGCTTGCAGTTACTTGCAGAGAGATTTTTCAAATTGAAATTGTAAAGAATGATCAATTTACACTCCATAGTTTTCGGTTGCAGTTACTTGCAAAGAGCATTTAAAATTGGCATTGTAAAGAATCGATTGTCAATTCAATTTTATAATATTGTCACCATTGCGAGTGGAGGTGTTTCAACACATTGACAGTTAATGTTAGAGACAATATATTTGACGCTTTGCTTCTTTGCACACTTTGCATTCAAGCACAAATTAAAAGTGTATAATGCCAAGTGAATTGCAAAAAGGTAATTTCTGGAATTGTGATTCAGCATGATGGTCAAGTTTAATCCTATTCCAACTCTCTGTTTTGAAAGAAAAGGTTATGTATATATATTTTTATTGAAAAATAATTACAGTAATTTTTGTTGCCAGACCTAACAATAATTTGCCCGGGAAGGTCAGGTCACGGCTCCCTTTTACTTCCGGACAACAACGGCGAGAAGGTAAATAGTACTATTTATGCCACAATAATAAAATTTAATACCTTGCCCCTATAATACAGTTTATACGAATAACAAACAACCAAAGTTGTATATCAAAGCACTTTTCTTTGAAAAAATACTAATATAGTTTTATGGGTTTAACTATATAGCAGCTGCCGACACAATATGAATTATTATATTTTTGATTAATTTTGCATTCACAATGCCATACTGGAAATTATTCTTAATACAAATGCTTAAAAAATCCACTTGGTTCCTGGCACCCTGAGATGGGATTCGAATCCACGTTAGAGCAGTCGCCCGGATTGCGAAAGGTCGTGGGTTCAATTCCCATCTCAGGGTGCCAGGGACCAAGTGGATTTTTTAAGCATTTTGTATTAAGAATAATTTAAACAACTAGTTCTAGAAAATTATGTGAACAGTATTATGTCCTCAAACGTCTTGGACTAATTAACTACCTTCACAGGGATCTTTAGTAATATCACTTAATAGCAATTAACCCGGTTTAGCTCTCACAGACGATATTGGTATTACCGCTGATATTGTAATACTATGTGCTACTAATCACATTAATTAAACTTAAAAGAATGATAGCTACGTATTTTAAATACTCTACGCTAGACGGCAATCAAGCTCATTTTCTTTCTTCTCCTCGAAGGTTGAATAGCCATTGGAAAAATTAAAAAGAAAATAATATCCCATGCATGTACAAAAATGCGCAAGTCTCACAACGCAATTTTTCTGCCGTAAAAAGTTATGAAATCAACATAAACCAAGTCGATCAATTCAGTACCTATCTTTCTGTGAAAGCAGCCATACTACCTTGTCATAAATTTAGGAATACTTAACAACAAATGAATAAAGCACAGACCCAATAACTTTCGATAGATTTTCCATGTAACATTATTTTACCATACCTATGCGTTTACCAAGTATTCCTAATCTATGACAAGATTTGCTTGAAGGTTGGATAGTTGCTTTCACAATAAAGATAGGTACTAAATTAATCGACTTGGTTTACGTTGATTTCATAACTTTTTACGACAGAAGAATTTTGTACATGTTATATTTTTCATAAGATCTCATTTCTTTTTGTAAGTAGTTCTCTTTTTTTTTTCTTTTTGGATATATCTTGAGCGTCAGCTACGGGCAACAAAGATCACTCACTCTCGTCTCGGTGGTCTTTTTAAAAAGGTGTTAATGTAATGGTTTTCCATAAATCATGTAATAAATCTGCTCGGTGAATGCATCTACAACAAGATTATAATATTCAGATTACAATTAAAGTTGACATAGATTAAATACGAGTATAAACAGTTTAGGTATATCGTTCTCCAAAATGCCACATGCTTGAACGCATGTAAATACTAAAGAATCTACTTAGCCCTTATATCTTATATATCGATCATTACACGCTACGGATATATTACCGAAGCCCATTTGATTCCGTGTGTTGGCCGTTCGTTGGTTCACTCTGTTTGTCACATAGATTTAAATATCTATGGTAGGTATGCATAATTATGTCCAAATGTAAATATTATAGCTTTTCCGAAGTTTTTCCTATGGTAATAGTTTCCTTAGGTAATTTTAATTATGTATATTTTATTTACTTAAATTAATGGTTTGTCTAGGTTTGTATCATGCTGTTAATTATCTTTGGTTTGTGTTACTAAGTAACACATTGACGGATATTTTCAGATTGCTCAACAGTTATAAATTATACAAAAATCTAATAAACATTAGATTTTTTCCTTAATTCGTAGGCAAAATAATAACAGTTTTCAAAATTTGGAACCTGTGGGTCTATTAGAAGTACCTTAGAATTTTGATGATCTATGAGTCAGTCAGTGACAAAATTAAGGTATTTTGAACTGCAATTATTCTTAAAGTACTCAAGTAACTGAAAATTTAGGCTTCAATTTTACCCCGCAACGAAGTTACAGCTCGACTTGGCTGGAGCACTTCCGAGCCCCCTGATATCATACATTGCTAATATAGTTAAATCATCGTAAATCGCCAGTAATTGGTACTGTAGGTATTGGCGGTAGGCCAGTAAAGCGCAAAGGGAAATTCAATCACGCAAATGTACATGCACGTTTAGTTTGACTACATTGAAACAGACCAAAGTTTTCACAAACGGTTACAAATTTATTTGAAAAAATGGCTATCGAGATTCGAGAGAGAGAGGTCTTTCTAGTTTCTTATATCAAAATAATAATAAAAAAAACCCACTTGGTTTTACTTTAACAAATAAAATATCCAGGTACTAAGAAAGTTTAAGAAGAAGGAGGTTTAACAATGCTTACATCAGGAAGTAATTTATATAATATTATTACAAATTATTCACGTCCATTTCTGTCCCATTAAGCTCGCTCTACTGTATTAGTAGCCAGTGTATTTGGCTTACCGCCAATGGAATACGTAGCGCCGTTTATTTTATCTTATTAAATGCAGTTGTATGCGCACTCCATGACGGTTTAGATACGTACTTGCTGACCATAATGCTTTAACACAGAGAAATGAAATAAAAATGTCTTTATTCGAGTACGCTTGATCCAAGCACTTTTGAATTGTCAAAAAAAATCCCTTACCACACGTTCAGGACGTCTTTTGACTGACAAGAAGAACAAGCGAAAGAAACTCATCAGCTCTTTATCACAAGTAATGACATTTACATAAATCATGTCATTACCATAATAGTACCTACGTATTATAACAATAATGAATACAATTTTTTAAGTGATTACCAATCTGTGGTCTTTAGACTCCTGGGGGCCCGTTAGCAGTTATGGGGGTCCTAACAAGACAAATGTCCACTAGCGTAATAACATGTCGTATTTTTATTTTTATGTAAATATGTGTCGAAATAACATTAAAACGACTAATAAACACAAAAAATATAATATTTCTTTATAATAAACCATCTGTTTACCACGCGACTTTGCCTACGTAAAAATAGTTTATGGCAGGCGCCTATGATGTAGACGAAAGATCTTTTAAAATCGGTGTCGTAGTTTCGTAGGCTATATAATCCGAACAAACAAACAATCATTTTTTCTTCCTCTAAATAATAGTTTAGCTAAACAGGTAGCTTTCTTACATTGAAAAGTGTTTTCCTTAGAGTGGCGAAAGAAATACCTATCCAATATAATATAAAGTTATATCAAAGAAAAATGCTTTAATATAGAATTTTGGTTGTTTGTAATTCATAGAAACTTTTAAAAAGTAAAAAATTAAAAAAGAAAGAGTATAATATCAAATGAGAAGCTTTGGTATTAAAGAGCTTTATTATAGTTGCAGGAAAGGTAAAAATGCCACACAACAACAAAATAAAAGTTCCCTTAATGAACATACCATAGTAGGCATTTGGATTATAAATCTGTCATAGTAGTTTGTTTAATTTTGATCAAAAATTTCACCATCAGCTGATAAGTCAGGATGGCCGAGCGGTCTAAGGCGCTGCGTTCAGGTCGCAGTCCACTTCTGTGGGCGTGGGTTCGAATCCCACTTCTGACATGCAGCTTTTTAGAAAGTATTTTTTTTTCTTCCCTTTTTCGTATTCCTTTTTAAATAATCAAATCATTCCTTATTATAATACGCTTAATTTTAAAAAAAAAATATACAGCCAGTTGCACAAACGTCCATTAAAATTTAATTACGCCTTTTAGCTCTATTGAATGTCAAATTTGTATGGGTAATGTCGCTTTAAAATAATGCCAACTTTAATGGACGTTTGTGCAACTGGCTTTTAGTGTAATAATAGTTTAATTATATACTTTTCATACCTCGATTATTCAACAGCGTCCAATTATATCACAAAACGTTAAAATACCCTTGCAAATGCAGAGGGAAGTAAAATTGTATGGAATTTCCACGGGTTGAAATTTTTATAAAAATTTTGGTATGCGGACGTCGCTGAGTTATAAATCAAACGTTTTTCGACCTGTTTTTGAAAAAGAAGCAAAAAAAAAATTATCCGGTAGTTTATAACAAAAGATAATATCAAATACTGTCCCAAATATTAAAAAGCTCATGACGATTTTAATGAAATCGCGCGACACTTTTCCTTTTTACGTTCTTCGTAAAATATTATTCTATTGTATTATATATTGGTCACTTTCATGATTAGTCTCGCAAAATAGCACCACTTCAGGAACCAAAACACGCTATAATAGAAACGAATACAATATGACTCTCGAAGGTTCGCGCCAAATTCTAGCTTACAAGATTATTACATAATTTAATTCGATATGAAACATAATGTGTATTTTCTTTCAGCTCCGCTACATCATAGACAAATTTATGGACATGCGTGCAGCATCTAAAAAGAAATTAGAAGATAACCCTTCCCTGACCATCGGTGACGTCACAACCATCAACCTTACCATGCTTAGTGTAAGTAACTTTGATATGTTCCTTTTTTTTCATATTATTAAAACTTAGGGGATGTTTTTAAGAATTGAAAATGTTTGTTGTTATGTAAAAGTAGGAACGAAGAATACATAAAATTAAAATAAGCAAATATAAAATCATTTTGCACAATAAGCGTCCTTATCACTTCATTATTAATATCTGAGAAATAATGTAGAAGTAACAGCACCTCTGCGATTATTAGTTTCGGAGATACGGTGTATGTTTGTGGAACTGCGGCTGTTCCGCCGAAAACGCTCCCTAAAAATTCAAGGCACTAAGTGACGTCACACAGTGTTACGGTAGCGAAAAACGTAAACGTCTGGGCAATCTTTGTCATATTTGTGTTTAGGTTTGTAGCAGTCTAATGAAAGTTGTTACGTTTACGTTCCAAATAAGTGTCAAAATTAATGTTGTTAATTATTTATAAATCAAAATGGTACATGTTTTCCAAACATAACAAAAACCTGTATTTTCACCTGTAGTACACAAGACTATTCTTATAAAAGTATTGTACCTGGATTTTCATAAATTATGTTGCAATATTTCAAAGTTCTTTATTCGCTTACTGTCTATCTTTACTTTCAGTTAATTACATTTAACAAAACATAAAATAACTTTAATTTCAGTCAATGAGATACCAATAATATAGATTAATTAACACGTTAGTTACACATGTTATTGTAATACATTAATATAGTTGTTATGTTTGTTTGTTATGAAATAAAGTTTGTTCAGTAACTTGCATAAAACATTTTATCACAAGAATTATCATTGTATCCGCTGTCGGGCCTCGTTTGCCTTTCATGAGTAATCGTAAAAGAGAAAATTATGTCAGTCAATTGTCATTCAGAAATTACGGTTTCGGATTCAGGAATTATTCAATAGCAACTTTACTGCCTATATGATGCTTAAATCAAATATAAGCACAGTTTGTGTGTACATATTTTGTTTTTATAAACACGACGGAGCAAAATTAAAATATCACTACCTATTAAACAGATTTTAAAATAGAAAACTTTTTTAATGGATAGATTTTTTACACATACGTACAATAGTAAAACTTCGTTGATCCCGGAGCCAGTGTCTAAAAGATACTGTTGATTTCACACCTCGGTGGCGTAGTGGATTAGCGCCGCGGCCCGTGATCGTTGTCGTTAAGCAACTTTCGCAAGGGTCGGTCACGGGATGGGTGACCAAAAAATTATTATCTCGAGCTACTCCGTGCTTCGGAAGGCACGTTAAGCCGTTGGTCCCGGCTGCATTTGCAGTCGTTAATACCCTCCAATCCGCATTGGGCCAGCGTGGAGGGTCATGGCCTATCCTCCTTAACCATCCATAAGGAAGGCCTGAGCCCCTGCAGTGGGGACGTAAAAGGGCTGATGATGATGATGATGATTTCACACCGTTACGAAACTAGTTTCGCGTGTGCATGTACTGAATAAGATTAGTTTTCTGAAACTTGTTTCAAACTGCATGACACTAATTTCATAATGTAAATGAGGCATTAGGTATGTGTGGGGCTTTGATTGTGACTAGTATATATTCAAGGCTCCAAGTGTGTTTCGATTGACAGTTTAAATTTGTTACAGGGTGGTATTCAGAATAACGTCGTCCCGGAGCAGTTGACTGTCAGTTTTGACATTCGCATTGCATTGACTGACAGTCAACAAGAGTTGGAGGAAAAGGTAAAATTATAGTTATTTCTTCTAACGTTTATACTAGAATCTTGAACACTATTGAATGAAACTCAATTTTTCTCTAATATAATCTGGTTTATACTTTTTGAGAATCACATGGACAAACAAATTTGTATATTTACTGAATAATTTACATCCACGTATTTTAAAGCGACTGTAGAATAATATATTACATTCAAAATACGTGAGTGTAAATTATATATGAGTGTTGCGCCATACCAACAATATTACATGCATATCATAATAGGACCTCATTTTCTTTAATCAAATCGATCTAGTACCTGCGAGACGAATTCGCAAAAACAAAACAAACGTTTCACCAAGGTTGGAAAAGATAATATAAGAATTACTGAATAAGTACAACACTTTAGAATAGCCCAGTATTTATTTAAACGATGGATGATGAACCACGCGTACCACGTACCATCACACATAGGGTTGCCACCTTTTTTTCTTCCAATTAAAGTACATTAGTTATTATAGGTACAAAAAAAAAGTAAATTGAATCAAAATAAAGTATTATTTATTTTTCTTTATTACTAAACTTAAAAATACATTTTCTTTTTATTTTAAATCACAAACAAATCAAATCATACGACATAAAGTATTTCCGTGTACTTTATTTTTCTTATAGAGTATAGAGTACAATTGTCTGAAATAACGTACAATAATTTATTATAAAGTACGGGTGGTAACCCTAATCACACATCACAATATACCATTTAGATACAATTTTTAATGATCGTGATTAAATCCTTAGGAACTATTTTTTCATATAACATGCTCTAAGAAATATTTAGTATGTAGTATGTTTATCAAAATTCAAAAAGTAAAATTCGACAAAAATGATAAATAAAAATTTACGTTTTAAATCCAATCCTTAAATTTTTCTCGCATTTTTCGACGTAACTTTTTGATTTTATTATTTGCTGTGATAGTGCCATAGTAACTTAAGCTTTTGAGTTTAATCCATTCTAAAACACACTAGAAACAATATTCTAAATAATTAGATTCAAATTATAAAATGAAAACTGTATGTCAATAAGGCCACTATTTGAAAACCACTGAACGACATCTAGTGTTAAATTAATAAAAAACTGACTGAAAAGTATTAAACAAGAAAACAAAATGTTTTGGTATATAATTTTCTCATTGCCTTAATTGTCGTCTTTTAGATTAATTCCAATTTTAAATTCGTAGTTAAATCCAAACGAGAGTCATAACAATAACAAGGCTAAAAACATAATTAAATGTGTAATTATGATACTCGTGAGACAATATTTTAGATTTTAACAACCCACGAAAGCACCCGTGCGAGCTGATAGCCTATATTTTTCAGGATGACCTGATTTCAGACAATATTTAAAGCCCATTAGTCGAAGAGATTGTGATTTATAGAAGATAATTAGATATATATCGTATAAGTTTCACTTGTATGACGTTACTAAGAACACTATTTGTTAATGGAATATGCTACACGACAGAATAAGGTTGCGTCTAAAGATAAATGTGAAAACGAGACGAAATCAAAGCTGCCACCATCACGTTTACGTTCCCACTGATGGGGCTCAGGCGTTGCTTATGGGTGGTTAAGGAGGATGGGTCATGGACTTCCCGCTGGCACAATGCGGATTGCAGGGAAAAAACGAATGGCAATGCAGTCGGGACCGATGGTTTTACGTGCCTTCCGATGCATGGAGTAATAATATTTTTATAACTCGATTAGGGCAACTAATGCTAATTTGATGGTGCAAGTATCAGAGCTGTAGGAGGCGCACGAAAATTTTTTTTACTACTTGCGAATTAATGACTTGAACAGCCGGAACGGTTTGAAGTGCATTTTGAAGCATGGAGGAGTTAGAAATAATAAATTAATGGTCACCTATACTGAGAACCGCTCTAGCTAAAGTTGATTAAATCTCGCATCGCAAACTGAACGCACTTACTACTGTACCATCGAGATCTAATAGATATAACATGGAATAACTAAAAATCTTTTAATCTCTTAACACAGGTGAAGCAATGGTGTAAAGAAGCAGGTGCAGGCGTGACGTATGAATTCGAACAGAAGGATCCAGAAGTTACAGCCACCGCGGTAGACGACACCAACCCTTACTGGCTCGCCTTCAAACAGGCTGCTGATCAGCTGTCAGTATTTTTTTAAATTAAAGGGCGCGCTTAAAATTTTAAATAAATAGGTACATTCATCATCATCGTGACAAGGTGTTAAGCGATTTAGTAGAGCTTTTGGTCTATTGATGTCGCTGTTAAAGTTGACTTCGATTACCAGGTGGAATAATACTCTGTGCTGGCTTCGATTACCAGGTGGATTAATACTGTGTGCTTCTTAGTTCTAATAATATATAAATCCTTTTGTATTGTAGAACAAATCTTTACTTCACTTGCATGAGTTAATTTAGCGAAATATCTGCCTGATAGACACCTGAACTGCTACCCACTAAAAACCCTTTAGTATTCCCTTACCTTGAGCGTCGAGATTTGGCAAATCGCGGCCAAGTCATAACGAGTTTGGGACGATTTCCATAATACCTACAAATGCTTTTTCCATAATACCTACAAATTCTTAGCTTAGAATTAGAGCTATAAATGTAAATGTATACCCGTTGCGAGTACACTCCTGCGGTGGAAAGACCCGGGATCCAGTAAGGAACCCGCCTGGTTCAGTACCACAAAGGGAGACTCTGCCTATTTATTTATTTAAAATAAGTTCATCCTAGATCTTAGTTCAGCTCAAGGACATGAATGAGTTCTACGATGGTACGAGCTTGTTCAGTAGGAAACTATACACTTTTCATCCTCATGTATCATACAATTTAATGAAACTTTGTTTAAAGTTTGTATATCCATTTCTTTCAGTAATATCCCACTTGAGATTCGTACGTTTCCCGGCGGTACTGACAGTCGGTACATCCGTGGAGTTGGTATTCCAGCTCTGGACTTCTCCCCCATGGTCAATACCACACCAGGATTACATGAGCACAACGAACATCTACCGGCCAGTACCTTCCTTCGAGGGATACAACTGTACGAGAAGATTATTCCTGCGGTTGCAAACGTAGACTAAATTATTGTCACTTTATAATAAAAATATGCCTATATTATAACACTTTCAGAGTGGAGAGTACTCTAAAAATAATATTCAAATCAATCAAGGTCATCTGTTATACGAGCTAAAATTCCAATAACAGGACTTTGAAATGTATAACCTAGCCTAACTTAATGGAAATATCTCTTTTTTTTTGATTTCTATTGTCACTATTATGGTATCCGAATTTATCAAAGTCTTCCGCCATACTAGCTATAAGTCTAACAGGGCTTACTGAGTTTGTAACCAAACCTAATCATTTTTTATTACTTTTGTCGAATGTCATTAAAAAATACAAATCAAAAAGCTCTTGTCATTCGCGTTACATAACAGTTCTCTAGCTTCTCTCTTTGAAAATAAAATCTTGCTAAAACCGTATATCAACTGTTGCGTTTGATTGCCCTTAAAGACCTGGGTATTAACTGTAAAAAATTGGCAGCTAACAACGATATATCTCGGTAATTGGCAGTACCTGTTGCATAAACCTACGCTGGTGTTAAATCCCCGTGATTTATGGTGCCGCTAACAACCGCACTATTTCTCCAATTAGTTTGTTTCATTATAAAAAAACTATAACATTATTTCCAAAACAGTATTTTCTGTAGATTATTGAAAATTCTTGAAATATTTATAGAGTATTATATATATGGAAATTTCATTTTCATAGGTGAATCAACAGTTGTCTCATAGTATAACAATTTTAGAAAACAGAGAATCAATTATAGATTCACACATATAAACATTCTCCCATTAGATTCAAATCGATTCCATCCATAGGGAAGCCGCTCCAACAGTGGAAACATTAATATGCTGATAATAATATAAAAAAATATATAAAATTTATCATCATCAGTCTTATCAAGTCCTCATTGTGGAGACACAACCGCCAATAGACAGATTTGGGTTGGTGGACATTAAAGAAAGCAAATGAAGTCAGGACTAATGGTTGGACGTGCCTTCATTTATTTTGCTCGAGATAGTAATTTTTGGTTACCCATCCTATAACCAATAGTTTTGCAGATCGTACGTGCTAACCACCTTGCCATCGAACTGCTCATGATAATTTTTTTTATTATTCTTAACTTCTGTATAATTTACCATATAAATACCTAGGGTTAGTTGCACCAAATTACAAACATGTTATAGTACCGGTTAAGCAAATAACAATGAGTTATCATTTATAGACAGTTGTATGACGTCACAGCTTTAACTGTAAACTATAACTGCCTTACATTTAATGTTTTACTATGCCAAGAAAGAGGATGGTGCAACCTTGGTACAATGCTTTCTACCATAGATTTAGTAGATATTTCATCTGAGCATTCCTTTGCATGACTAACTGTGGACAGTCGATGTTAAAGTCAACGTGACAGATATTGTCAAGTTTGACATAATTAACTTTAAATACGTAAACATAACAACAATAAGTGTTGCAAAATTCTCTTTTATGTATTTATTAAACTATCGTATTTATAGTGATGTTTGCTTTTGTGTTGTCCTTTTTTAGTAGAGAGAACAATCTCAAGGAAGAACTGGTTAATTGTAACTACCGTTCAGTCTCTCGAGTCTCGTGTCTCTCTCACTACGGGATGTTGGCAGAATTTCTTTGTATGACGGAATAAGGCCATGAAAAAAAATAACTACGTCTACGGCGCAACGGAGAGTATGTCAATTAAAGACAATATTATTGTAGTTACTTTGCATTACAATGTGTGTTAAAAAATAGTTAACATAGCAAAACTTGAACTGTATAGAATGTATTATTCATTTTTAAATTTCAAAATTCAATATCTTTCTATTATTAGATCAATCTATTACACTGAGCTAAACATTAAAAGTTGGAAAGCCGCATCATTGGTTCTTAAATATACTGCAAGCAGGAGACCTTGTATCATGAAAAAAAAAAATAAGACAACAAACTCGGCAAGTATCTATTCCGAAGGTTTACTGATGAGATTTTTAAGGCCGCGACATTTTGCAGTTACCTTCAATATTTGTTTACTAAACTACATTCTAAAATTATCTGCATACAGTATACTTCTGATGCAGATATAAAGAAAAGGACTAAGAAATAATCAAACGACTAACAATATATATATCGTAATCTTTTTTTATTGGTACAACGTTGACGTGATACTAATGATATCGAAAAATAAGCCGAATACCGTAAGCCGTTAAAAAGCCTAATAAGCAATGGCGACTTTTTACGTTTTTATCTGAACAAACAATTTATTTTTTATGACCTTTATTATATATACCACACATTTTTGCTTAAAAAGGTTCTTCAACATACTTCTTCAACTGCACTGATTTCAGCTATCAAATCCCTTTATTATATGTTATCATTGAGTTTTACTTATTAACGAAAAAGTGACATTAACTTCAAACATAAAAATAAGTCTTTATATTAAAACGTTGAAAAAGTTAATTTAAGAAAAAATGGTAGTTACTAGGTAGGTATTGGCCAAGAAGTTCATATATTCAAATTTCTTGGTATTGGCGCTGCGCGCTCGCTATATTTTTTCTTTTAAACATACACAGTTAATTATATTGAATCTATCTAATATCTACAGTTCAGTATGTCTTGTTTTGGTTAGTTCCAATATGAGTAGATAACACAACAAACAAAATCGTCCACATTATAAGTATACTCGCTCTACCATAGAATCAAGATTGTAGAGTCTATTTACACATTATGTAGTTTGGATTAAGTCAGGTTATAATAGTTTATCTTAGCATAAATATTGTTTAATATCAGATATTGCTTTCAACTTGATAAGCGCTTACAAAACGCTTTGTAAATAAAGTAATTAAAATAAGCTGCAAATGTTTGTTCTTGAACAATTTGTATTCATTCTTAGTTTACTGTATTTGGTACGAAGATGCAAATGCTTGCGACAAATCCAGTTAATAAACAAGTATTACCTCTGTAGTCATCACCAGTACTTTTACGTCCCCACTGCAGGGGCTCAGGCCTTCCTTATGGATAGTTAAGGAGGATGGGCCATGACCCTCCACGCTAGCCCAATGCGGATTGGAGGGTATTAACGACTGTCGTTAATACCCTAATAAGCCGTTGGGCTTAACATGCCTTCCGAAGCACGGAGTAGCTCGAGATAATAATTTTTTGGTCACCCATCTCGTGACCGACCCTTGCGAAAGTTGCTTAACGACTACGATCGCGGGCCGCGGCGCTTATCCACTACGCCACCGAGCTACTCTTACCTCTGTAGTAAAGTGGTATATTATTAGACACATTTATGGATGTTAAGTTTTTATCCTAGGGAGCAACTTCCACCCAAACAAATAATCAGTCTTATCGTGCCTGTAAGTTTTTCGTTTTATCGTACCTTTTTCTCTTCAGTAATGCAAAATATGCAGAATGATTGACTTATAGCCTTTAATTTCTTTCCTATTTTGATGTCGTTATATATTTTGTATTGAGTGAGTAAAATTAAGAATAATATGTTTAAAGTATAAACATCCGTGTATTGATATCAAACCAGCAGGACTACATCATGTTACAATATTGTACGACATATATCCTCATAAGAGGGCCACAGGTCACAATAGAAAACATATATCAAGGTACGTTTTCAATAGCCTTTGAATGTTACAAGGTAAGTGATTTCTTTATGTCCTTGGTCTATACAGCTAACTTACTACAATTTTTATATACAGAAACTATAACATCAACCTCATTAGTTTTAATTACATATTTATACTTACATTAATATTATTATATTGTGAACAATTACTGATCTACACTCAATTTAAAATTCAAGAATTTCTGGCCCGATTTAGCTGGTTTTAGTTTTGAAATGATATTAAAGTATTTTCCATATCCTATATAATGAAAATCAAAACCAGTTGTTCCCGCTTTTTCGTAGTTTACATCTTATGTCATCCCCGTATAATGTAAGCCTGTAAGTGAAAGGATCTAGTCATATCGGAACTTTTTCCGGCACACACATAATTTTTCTCTAAATAAAAAATTATTTGCTTGCGCCGTATTTACAAAAACAAAATTGTGTCTATGGTGTATCTATCTTGAGATTGCTTTTTATTGGTGCCTGTGTCTTTTATATAATATATATTATATAAAAGACACACTATATTATATAAAAGACTCTTTTATATAATATATAAATATATATTATATAAAAGACACAAGGTATGTATCAAATAATAAATGTTCAGCAACAGCAATTCCATCCGATGGTGCCGCTACTCCTTTATTATTTAAACAACCTTCTAATGCGGATACTGCGCCAATGCAGCTATGGAACAAAGCTTGTTGGCTTTCTAAACGGAAAGTACATTTTTATTCAGATATATGTCGACGAAAACCTATAGCCGCTATCGGATAAGAAGTTTTATATCTTGCACTTTTTTTTTATTTGTTTATTTATTTCAGATTTTTCGTCATCATCAGTATCAGCCTAATAATACCCCCGTTGCACAGGCCTTCCCTATGGTGGGCTCGAATTGGGAAATCCCAACACGTAGGCCCATTGCGAGTATTAATGATTGTATAAGCAACTGAAACCTTCTGCTTAACATCCCTACGAAACACACAGGAGATCGAAATAATAAATCTTTGCTCACTCATCCTATGACCGGACTTTGAGGTTTTTATCAGCTGAATAATATTTAAACACAAATAAAATTTTAAATGTATATGTGCAAAAAATACTTAGTGCTCCTCAAAATGTATGATGAGCTGTCTTATGTTAAAATCTATCAATCGCTTTTGGAATGAATGATGATTTGAAAGATAAAGAATCACGAGAAAACTTATTTGAAGCGAAAGATTGCAGTTAGAATTCAACTCTTTCGTTACGATAAATGTTCATTTAATAATTTCCAAATAAAAATCGCCATCACATGTTACATAGTTGTAGCGTGAAGTTCGTGATTAACTTTCAAATGTCAAATTGAAATCGATTGCGACAGATTTAAAAATTAGATCCCTGATG